CACATCTAGGCTGTCCCCACTGACCTCGCAGCACTTGCATTTGCATTTGCATGGGCATAACCTAAGTGACCATTCGGCCAGCTGAACTGCTGTTTCTTTCAGCATGAGGTGCGTGGGACATGGTGGGAGGGACCAAGACTCCAATACCCTCCTCATCCTAAATACACATTGCCTTGTCCATCCAGCTACTAGCCACACTAGTATGGCCTGTGCCAGCATGTGCCTTGCCCAACAGAGCCCCAGAGCTGCCTCTGCCATAGCTTACCACGAGTGGCCTCTAAAGGGCTGGGGGTAAGGTGGAGGCAGCCTGTTCTGTTTGTGTATTTACAGGGCATGAAAGCCAAACTGGGAAAGGACTTTGGTACAGTGCAGCCAAGTGACTATAAAGTACTGCCTTAAAAAGCCACAAGGTCACCTTTACTGACATTTGGATAAGGATTTTATAGAAGTCACAGGACTTGGGGATGGGCTTGTTGTGCCTACGAAAACAAGGGAGGGAGGGATTTATGTGCTGGTCAGAAAGGCAGCATTGTTGTGACTCTTTCATGTTCATAAATGCTCATTTATTAGCCTGTTGGATAAAAAAGGCTGATTGGGATTTCTCTTTTCATTTAATGTAGTTCCAGGTGGCTTCCTTGACTCTGCCAGCACACTCATGAAATTTAACACTCTATTACTTACCAGTACTCTCCAGGTGCCATGTCTTTGCACAGTTTGTCTTCTCACTTGGTTAGACCTTAGAAAAACTTGGTTTTATGGCCACACTTCATTTAAGCACAATGTGAGAACTAATGTATATCGTCCTCTCAGATGAAGAACCAGCACACAAGCACACAGGAATTTGGACAGAGGGGCTTTCCTGATGGTGTGTATTGGGAATCTGGTGCTTGTGTATAGATATCCATATGTGTGTGTGTGCTCAGTCTGAGAAGCAGCACAGACTCTGACTGTTAAGCCCTGTACAGCCTGAACAAGCAATGATGCAGCCTTGAGCAAATGGAGGAATGAATCCAGGAAAGTGGAGGACATGCTCTGATGCAATGCAATTTCTGGAAAAAAATGTTATGGGCAAGCCAGTCTACATCAAAGAAACACCTGGCTCCACCACTTGTTTCTTTTCTTCAGTGGCATAACATACGGGACAGATTTTGGCCAGGTGGCAGAAAATGTAGGGATCATGACAAAAATAATCCTCATCTGAAAACGTGGTATAGGTGAGCATCTGAGTCTCCTTATTAAACTACAGTGCCATATAGACATTACATCCTTTAGGCACTGTCTGTGCTTCATTACCCAGAAACCAGACATATCTGTTCAGTGACTATGGTGTGGATTGGAAACTTCCCTGCCCTTTCCTCACGTTAGCCCTGCAGGGAGATGCAAACATGAAGAATGCCACAAGCTGCATGCTAATGTGCTAAATATTTAACATAATTAGTCACTGGAGCCCCATCCCTTTCTCCCACTGAGGTGACCGAGAGACAGATCACAGGATTAATAGTATGGTCCCCAGCACTTGCTCCTTGATGCCACTTGATGTTGCCAGGTGTATTGGAGCCAGGCAGGATCAGCAGGCAGAAGTAAAGACAAGGGGGACAGGGAGCGCAGCCTGCAGTATTGTTGCACCCTGTCTGGGGCCGACTGGCTCATTTGACCTGGGAAGCAAGGTCCTGCTCCCTGCGTCTGCGATCCTGATGAGTCTCCGGTGTCTGACACCGAAGCCTGAGAGAATGCAGACAGGTCACTGGCTCAGTGCCACGGGGAGCTCTGCCATGCAATGGAAACCGTGGCAGTGGGAGAAGAATAGTATGTCAAGTGCAAAGCAGCAAGGATGTTTTTCAACCTAAGGGTGGATGCCGGTGTATAACCCATTTGCTGCCAGAAACAGCATTATTAGCATAAAAGAAATGGCAGGAGTGCGTGGAAAGCATAGGACAGCCATAAGCCTCACCTGGCTGTAGTCAGTGTGTACGTGCTGGAGCAAGGCTGGCAGCCACACAATCTACATCCCTTCATGTGACCAGGAACGTCTATGTGACACGAAACGGTGCTAACGGGGATGAGGGCTGGGCACAAGCCTCTGGGACCCATCCTCCTTATGTAAAGCTATTCCTGGAAAGGAGGCAGGAAAATTTCTGGGCTTACACTGATATGGTTTATCTCCACCAAGGGACTTTGTCCCATACATGAACCAGAAAAGCTACATGTGCTAGTAGCACAGTGGAAAGGGTGACTCCAAAACAGATGCTGAATCAATATAGCATGGAGCAGAAAAACCCTTTCCCCACATTCCCTTTCCTCCGGGAAACTTCCCCTGTCCCTAAAGCAGGGGCTGTTGCAGGAGCTTTATAGACTCACTGTGTGGGAATTACATTTATCGGTACACTATGTCAGGACTGCAGCCAAGGGCATGCTCAGTACCCAGAGCAGCAAAGGTGCAAACACATGGATTTCACCACAAGCATCCCAACCCACTGAGCCTGCTCGAGATAGCTCCACTGTTATTGGTATCTGAACTTGCTGGTTCATCTCAGTTTGCACATCTTCACTGGGCCGTATGCACAACTGGAAAACCTACATCAGGCCCCACATCTGACCAGCACATGTTTAAGGATGGTCCCTAGTGCACTGACACAGGGGGATAAGGCAGGCAGAGCGAAAGGTCAGTGCTCCCAATGGACCAATATTTATTCCAGGTACCTAATAACCAGTAGCTAGGCACAACATATACACAGACCCTCCCTCCTCCACCACGTTGCCCTACATAAAAATATCTAGAGACAACTCCAGTCCCACTCAGACTGACAGAGGCAGCTGCCATAGCAGAGCTTTTAATCCTAAAGCAGAGCCTGTTGTCCGGAAATCTTATTGTGTTGGACAGGCAATCCTAGACCTTAATTAAATAGGTTGCCCTCCCCGCAAAGCCAGACAGACTAGACTGGAGTCAGATGAAGCAAGTTGCTTAAGCCAGGGACCACCTGGCTGTAACTTCATCTAGGTGACTGCATATGCTTTTGAGACCCTCTCTGAAAGGTTGAAACCCCAAGCAAGCTCCCAGAGGCAAAGTGAGGATTTGTAAAGAGCAAGAAATCAGAGATGCTCTGTTCTGGGAAGGAATTCATTCCTTCACCTTTCAGAGACTGAAATTTTGTGGCCTTTGCCCTGACCAAAGACACAGCACATCACGCTGGTTCAGGATTGATTTCTAAGGGAGATGGTGGCTCCTCCTCTGTCTCCATTGCACACAGGGAGTGCTTTGAACCAGACCCACCTCATTTTTCTTTCTCATGCTTGCCCTCACACTATCTCTGTGAGATAAGGCGCATTACTTTCTCCATACCAGAAAAGAGCAGCCATGTCGACTCCACGCATTTCCCCTAGCCATGACCCAGCTGCTTGCCTGTGTAGCATCCCGCTGCTGTGCCAAGATGTAACCCTGCCATGAATGCTCTCGACCCTGTGCAAATATACAGAAAGACAGCACGCTGCTCATCCATGCAGCACCCTACTACTGAGGCCCTGAGCTGGATGATCATAGAATCATTAAGGTTGGAAAAGACCTCTAAGATCATCAAGTCCAACTGTTAACCCAACACCACCATGCCCACTAAACCATGTCCCTAAAACATGATGGGGATGGAGGAAGAGGAGTGAATGAGAACGCCAGTGCTCACTGTGGGGTATGACTGCCACTCTGACTAGGTCCAGCCAGAGAAACTGCACAATTCCCGAAGAGTCAGCTAGTCTGCTGCGAACCTGGGTGTCAGGTCAAAGCTTTGCACTCAAAAACCCTTTTCAGGCTCCAACCATTTCTGACTAACCCTTGGGCAGCCTTAGGCACAATGTGGCCCTCAGCCTCTCCCCCACTTCAGTAAAATCAGGTCACTTGTACCTCACTGTGGTACCAGGATGGGGAGAGGGCAACGGGCAGAGGTAGGCTCCTTGCTGCTCTGTGTCTGTCTCTTAAGTTCCCCCATGGGACATCCATTTATGTTTGTATACACAGTGCAGTATGCACCACAGAGACACCCCAACAAAACTGCAAAATGGTACGGAGACCGAAGCTTGGGTCTTAAGAGCATACGCTACCATTGCAACCTTCCTCCTGGGCTAAGGAGCCCTGCTTTCCATTGCCTGGAAGGAGCTGCTGCTGGGACGCGAGGCTGCTTGCGCATGCTACCTGCCCGTAAATACGCAAAGGGCCTTCCCTCACCATGTCCCCCCGCTGCGCAGCAGTGGCCGTGGCCTTTAGTCAGGGAGCATTTCTCTCAGTTCCAGCTGAGTCTAGGCTGCTATTTTGTGTTATGAAGTCCAGTAACCAGGTCATGACCCCGTGGTGACATCTGAGTGCCCCGAGTCCCCCGGCTCAGACAGATGCCATGTGCTGCTCAAATCATGGACTGGCACCGCACGTTGCAGTGCAGCTGGATACGTATGCAAAACACCTTTCCGCTTCCTCCATCTCTTCCACTTCTCGCTGGAGTGCCTGTAAAGCCAGGAGCAAACACACAACACTGGTGCGGGAATTTTTATTTTCTGAGAAACACATACTTTACTTCCCAGTGCAACAGAACTTCGGATGCATAGCGGCGGCTGCCAGAAACCTACAGATCTCAGGGAGTTCTGCTCTTTATAGTTTTGCTAACATGAGTTTAGCAGCTAATGCAAGTTTCCAAGATGGCAGATCCTGGAGACTGACTGGCTGTGTTCACCCCCACAAAGCAAGGTAAGCTGTCCACAGTAACCTGCTAACAGTCTCACCTGTGGGAGGAATGGGACACTGTGCCTCTGCTTCCCATCCTGACATCACTTTCATACCATTTGAGTCATCCCTTCACCCTCTCATTCACCACACTCCTCAACATTCCCCTTGTTCCTCCACATCCCTTCTTCTCTTGCCATGCCATTCCCCTCTCGGATGAGACTGGGTTTTGGGGAGGGGGAAAGAAAAAGAGGATAGGGATAGGTAGAAGCTCACAGATAACCCCTTACATTATTTATCCTAAGAAAGCAGATTATTTCTCTTTTATATATGAAGCCAGGAAACAATGGTTTATCACGGATATCACTCTGAGTGCCTCTGCGCTGCCTGGAGTGACTCTTGGCCTCTCATCAAAGCTTTCCCACACATCTTGGATGGCCAATTGTGAGATGTCCAAAACAGTGCTGGGGAAGCTACTCTAAGATGCATGGGCAGGCCTCCATCATCGTGTCCCTCTGTGCGTACGTGCTAACCCTGGAAACCGAACTCCTTGTACTTGCTGGCCATATCATTTCGGAACAGCTCCAGGGCCTTCTTCATCGCAGCCTGGGAATCAGCCCCAAAGTCTGCAGAGTGTTTTTCAGCAATGACCTTGATAATGACTTCAGAAATGAACTGTGAGGAAGGAAAGAGAGAGAGAAAAACAGAAGGGACAGTCAAGGTTTATTTTCAGAAAAGCTAGACTAAGAAATAGGTTGCAGAGCCTGGAAATATCCCCGAGCTAATTCAGTAGCCCTTCTTGCTGTCTCTGGAGAAACAGTGAGGTCTAGCTTGCAAGGAGCCTGGGCTGGGCAGAAGAACTGGGCTCTATTCCTAGCTCTGACGCTGATCTGTTTCATGACCTTGAGTAGACCATGGCCCTTCCCACTCTTTGTCTGCCTCATCCATTAAGGCTGAAAATTCATGCCCTGTGTTTGTACAACACTTAGTTTTGTGGGTCTTAGTCTCCAATGGATCCTCCAGGGCTTACTCTAAATTTGTACATCCCTCGTGTCCAGCCACTGACAGTTCTTATGTAATGTAGTTTCCCAGGCATGCAGAGGCTGCATGGGCTGGTTTATTATTGTCAAGGGTTGCTCAGACTGCATGTGGTGTTTGGAATGGGAAATCTAAACTTGGATATTCACATACCATTTGCATACCATGAGCCCTTCTGTGCCTCCTCCTGCCTATACACAGAAACCTCGGACTTGAGGGAGAGCTCACTGAAGTCCAACTAGCCATCAGTAAATAAAAGCACAACTCTCACATAGCTGTCTTGCACACATCCACTACATATCAGACACCAAGATTGCCTGCCGTTTTCCATACCTCCAGATATTTGACAGGGATTTTGTGCTTGGTCGCATGGGTTTGAGCCAGGGGCTTCAACTCTGACTCATGATTACCCTTCTGCTTCAGGATTTTGCCCAGCTGGGTAAGGACGGTAACTCCATGTTTCTTCAGATCTTCAGAGCCCTTCATCTGATCAGGGGTCTTCAGGCCTTTGAACTTTTCAAAGCGATCCAAGGTCTCAGGGTGGTCTTGAAAGAGTCTGTGGACAAAAGTAGAGGGACTTGTGAGACTTGAGAGAGCTGTCATCCAGACCAGAGCTGAGGTCCAGCTGCTCCAGGTATTTCAGAGTATATGGACAGGCAAAGGTGTGATAACCCACTTCCCTCCTCAAAGAAAGCTCTTAGCTAGTCCCTGCTAGTAGAGGCTGCTTTAACCTGGGAACTCTGACTCTTTAGATCCTTTCCAAACTACCACCATTCACAGTCACTCCTTTCAGCATGTATATAAGCCAGGAAAGCATCTGACCTTACTCTGAATCCGCTTTAAGTGTTTTTCATCTTTCCTCTGGTAGGTTGTTCCACAACCTTATGACACTCTGTGTGCAGAAGTTTCCTTTCTATTTATTTTGTACAGGCTGCTTTTTTATCGTTAACAAATGATAAAAAGCCTCTTGTCTTTGGAGAGCAGAAGCTCCTGACATACCTCCCTTTGAGTATTGTATCTATTTTAATCCCATCCTCTTACACATGTCCTGACATGATCACTACTGTCTTTTTCCATTCCCTCTGGCTGTGACAGAGGCACTGCCCTTAACATGTCCAACTAGAGCGACAGAGCAAGTGTCTATATTTTTTTATATAGCTCTGCTAACTCTTTGGTACCAGTCCCCTGGGTTAATGTCAACTGTATTAAGATAGAGACAAGAGCCAAGGGTGGTCACGGTACTGAGAGGTGAGTTCTTGCATTCATCTGAAGGAAAAACAAAACCAAACAAAACCACCTGTCTTCATTGACTTACTATTGCTGAGGAGCCAACCTGTAGACCCCTGGCTCTCACCAGGACCCTCTTCCCAGCCCATTTCTGCATTGACCAGGAAAGGAGAGTTCTAGAGGCTTCCCACACACAAAAAAAAAAGGAGCAGCCCCCAGCCTCAGGTCCCTCATACTTGGGGCTCTGGTGTTCTTGAACATCAGCTGGATGGGAGATCTTACTGTGCCCCCACCCTATGATTGCAGACATGGAGGAATTTGGTTCCTGCCCTTTTTTCCCACCTCCCAGCTCAGCCCAGCTGCCAGCAGTGTGGTTCCTCCATTGGGAACCGCGGCACCTCAGAGAGTCCTTGGGAGCAAGTGGGTAACAAGAGCGCGGGGCCTTCAGGCATGCTGGTGCCATGCCATGCAGTGCTATACATAGGTACTCTGATCCCGAAATGGAAATGAAAACAAGAACGTGGAAGGGTGGCTAAAAGACAGGCTAGTGTTGTCCCCCCTGCTTCCTCCCTGCTGCATTTCCTAGGAGACAGGATGCAGACACCACTGGCAGTCAAACTAGTGGGGAATTTCACTCTTTTCCCTGCCAGAGTCCTAGAGACAAGGTGAAAAGGGGACACTGCCTGTCCTCATTATTAGGAGCAGTCTAATAATTAGGTGTTGAGAGACATCAGCTCCCTTGCACAAGTTTATTTTCAGGTATTACACCCTCTGATGGGCATAATCCAACTAGTTGAAGCACCAGCAAAAGCAATGTCTGTCTTTACAGCCCTACAGCTCACATCCGTGAAGTGGCTCACCCAAGTTACCTGCAGCAGTGTCTGGTGCTCCAGCCCAGGACCTCAGCAGAGAAACCAGCCTCCCTTTCATGGTACAGTCGTTGCACGCTTGCTCTGCCCTCAGGAGGGTGCTGGTGCTGGGACTACTGGGGCTTGCATCCCGCCTAGAACTGGACATTCCTCCTAAGTATGTTGCCATGAGGGCCAGGCTCTCCACTGTATGATGTAAGTATAGGTTAAACTACACTAACAAATACCTCAAGCACATGGAAAACACAAACTGTTCTGCAGCAAAAATATTCTGTAAATGAATGACCAGTCTTTGCCGGCGTTTCATTTCAAAGGTCTCCAAAGGATTTCTGTACTCTACCACGTGCTGAGCACACCACCATTGGCCTTTCATTTTTTCCTGTATCTTTCCATGACACAGGTTGTGTCCCACCCAGAGACATGAAAAAACCTTGCACCCTAAAATGAGATGGAGTTATTTCTAAAAATCTCCCTCCATCGTGTCTGGCTATGGCTGAATCGTGTCTGCCAAAGATGATATACTCCCGAGACTCTTGAAAATTCTTCTGAGTATTTTTTTGTTTCCTTTGGAAAACTTCCAGTTGAATCAGTGTTTTCTAAACATATTCCCAGGATATAACATCTACCTAAGAAGTCTTTAACAATGCACACTTGGACACATTTCTAAACTAAGCGAGATCTGCTGGGCTTCCCCTGTCTCTCCCCTCCCTCAGAAACCCCTTGAAGGAACAAGAAACAACCTGGATTGGCTGGGTAGCACAAAGTCACGGGGAAGTGGGGTGTCATCTATTTATTTAATGCCCTACGATACCTGTAAGAAAAATGGTATTACGTTTTCCATTGGAAACTGCTTTTACTGTCTTATGGCAGATCCAGAACCAAAGTAGCCACCTCACAGAGATGGACTGGTGGGGAGGGCTAAGGTTCCTGCTACCCCTCCAGCATGCCTGCTCTGGACTGCATCAGCAGAGAGCCATCACATTGCCACCTGGCTGCCCCGATCCCTCCCTCCACTTCAAATGGCAGCTGAACTGGGCCATGATAAAGAAGGTAAATAAAACAGCCCCGTGCTTTGGTTTGTCCTTGAAAAAAGCTTTGAATGGACAGTGGATTTGCCCGATAGTGTGGGTTCCTTCCTTTAGCCATGCTTAAGCTAGGAAATCCCCCAAGTGAGTGCCATATCCCCACTGCTCTCCGTACCCTTCCAGCACATCGTACTGAGCACAGGCTGAGGGCGAGATGTGGAGAGTCTCCTCAAAGTCTCCATCCCTGCTGGTCTTTAAGGACAGGCAGGATCCAATGCCCACCCAGTGTCATTTCCCACTCTGCAGCCCTAAGGTCCCTTCCAGGTTGCATTTCTGTGACTTGCTGCTGGTGCCTGGGGTGTTCCCCTCTCGGGGGACCAGCACTGCAAGGACAGCATGGGGGCAGGGGTCCTCTCAGATGGAGACCTCGCAAGCTCTCCCACTCTGACCCCAGAATCATGGAGGAGGGAAGCAAGGAGAAGGATGTGCCTCGTTTCACACCCAGACCTCAAATTCATCATCAGGAAGTGGACAAGTGTTACCACCCAGGTTTCTGGCCAGAAAAGCAAGATGGGCAGGGCTCTGCCAGGTGAGACTAAGGTGGGGAGAGGGAAACACTCCGGTAATTCACAGTTAATTTTACTGAAATCAGAGATTCTGAGAAAATTGTCACAGAGGTGATTTTCCTCTCCTCTCTTTCTCTGCCTCCCCACATCCTTGCTGCAGAGCATCTAAAGGCCCAGGACACACGATTGACTCCAGCATTTCTTGCTGCAGTGCTTGGGCAATGAGGATCCAAAGCAGACCTTTGCCAACAGGTCAGGCAGAGGGAATGACAAAGACCCACCATCTTTTGAAAGCGGCAGTGGCCTACTCCTGCACCCGTAGACAGACAGAGAGACAGAAGCACAGCCACTTTGCACAGTGAGTAATTTTTAACCCAGAAACTGTAGCAATGGGAAAACCACCACCCTATAACAAAGAAAACAGCCTGTTGAAATACACACTGCCAAAGACAAGCCCCCATACTAAATATACACCTTCCTTGGTCTCTCATCAAAAGCTCTTAGCTTTACGCTTAGAACCAAAGCTTCTTGCCTACCTCATTAAAACTGCATGCCCATGGCCAGGGAGGTCGGACTCCACCTTTCCCCAGATGGTCAGGACCTGCTGCCATTCCTGATCACTGAGCCCCATGGTTCACTGAAGGCAGGTCCCGAGTGCTCCCTGCAGCTGTTTCCCTTTCCCTAAAGGATGGCTGGAGAGCTCACCAGTGGGATTTATAGCCCCTGCTCACAGACCTACACCTGTCAATCGTCAGCTGGACATCTTGCTCTCTTTCAGGCTTGTCTAACCTAATCAGCCTCCCTGTTTTTTTCTAGGAAGCTATTTTGGGTCAGGTGCTATTGTGGGTGTCACTGATGGCATCATTTCTGCCTTTCGTATTGGACTGTCACATGTCCCACTCTAGACAGAAAGGGCACTGCTGAAACACAGTGCCAGGAGCCTGTCCCAGGTTCCCAAGGACCCAGAGACAGTGTCAAACTGTATAGCAGGAGATTCTTGAAGAGCACGGTCATCTGCAAGGCCACCCTGCCTCCCTCTCCCCTGGCCTGCTAAGGGCAGGCAGCAGAAGAGACCGGGATGGCTAGTAGCATCAGCTCCATTGCTCCAAAGGCCTTTCCTTTCCCATTGTGAGCTCACTCTCCTTTTCCCCTGGGGTAATGCACTCCATTTACTAATAGAGCAGAGCACAGTGTTAGACGAGATACGTCCTCAAGAGCTAACCATATTGAAATTTGCCCAGGCATCTCCCCAGCCTCTGCAGGAGGGAGGAAGGGGATAAAAGCTATATAGAAGCCAGTTACCCCACACCTGCACACCAGGGTCCTTCTGCCTGCCTCTCGGGGGAACACTCAGGATTAGCCGCTGGCTGAGCCTGGATATCGGAGCCAACAGACATACAGCTGAGCCAGGAGGGTAATTTGCAGCAGGCCAGAGACAAAAGGAAACAGCAGGGCTTCACTCAACACGCACCCAGCCAGGGGTTAAGGTCTCTGGCTACTTCTGTCAAGACAAATATCAATGTCGGGAGGAAAAGCCACCGGGCTCACAAACAACGTGGGTATGCTTTGGGACATGTCCCAGCCTTTCTCCTCCAGCCCCATCAGGACTGATAACGGCCTGGCACACCAGCGGGGTGATTAATCCCTTCCAGGGGGTGACTGCAGTCAGAGCACAGTCCGATAACAAAGCCCAGCTAGCGCTGCTGTCCAGAAGCATGCACCTACCTCTGGGCGTTTCCAAAAGGACACACATTGCAGGCCTTGGCAGGTGAGAAATGTCAACTGAGGGCTGAAGACACCTGCCTTAGGGCTCAGGAGGACAGCATGCAACCCCATGGTCCTTACCACAGTGCTGCAGGACCTGAGGTGCATCGTGGCCTCTGCACCCGTCCATACTGCAACGCGGGAACAGTCCCGCTGCTCCAGCCTTGCAAGGGGAAAGAAGTGCCCACGTACAAGGGTGATCAGGCAGTGAGGAGGACTGAGGCACAGAGCCTCACACCCCTCAGAAACACACAGGTTTACGGGGAATAGTTTGGGTAAGACGGGTGGCAAAAACCGAATGGAGGTGTCAGCTGGTGTCCAAGCCTAGAGGTAAGGGAATTTTGGCCGTTAGATTTTGCAAGCCTTTGTCAGCCAAGTCAACCTGTAACCCTGCAATCCTCCTCTTCTCTCTCCTCTATGTACCAGTTCGCTTCACATCTGAAAATCCACATCCTAAACACTTCAAGGCCAAGATTCCATCCTGATTTACCTGCGCAAACACCAGGCAGCTACCAATTATCCAAATTAAGCTAAACTGATGGAAGAGAGCTTAGGACACGAGCATTCCTCGTGTTCTCCACAGCGCAGGGCTGAGACGGGAGAGATCGCATACCTGCAGCCTCACTCCCCAAGTACTTACAGCAGTAAACAAGCATTTGCACCATCCCAGGCTCGGCCTTGGGTAGGATCCTGAATACTGACCTTACTGTTTTACACGCGTTTCAGACACGACAGAAATGTGCTCCTGGTACACGAGAGGCTGCTGCTTATGCATTGAGCTCCGAAATATTCCCCAAGCTGAAACTACTCAGTTGCCATAATAACTTCATTTGAAGCTGGTCGACTCTCTGCTCTCTGTAGCTTTCCCCAGGGCTGTGAAGCCAACAGTCTCGGTATGGACATTAACGTTAAATGGACAGAAGGCTTAAAAAGAGTATGGGATTCCATATTGCTTTCTTTTACAAGTGAAGTAGTAATGAAATGAAATCATAAGCTTCTCCCTAGAGCTTAAATAAATAGTCTACAGAAGTACTAAAAGCTTTATAGCACACCAGACTGCTCCTCAACCATGCAGCCGCAACAAGGACGTAACATTTTAGTATCTACAGGCCTCTCCTCTCCCCCTTGGGGCAAAATCTATCACTTGCCTAATCATCTCGATAAACACAAACTACAGAGAGCCAACATATCAGCTGCCCCCTTTAAAAAGCGCCGGGTGATTTAATAACCTATTTAAAACAGCGCTGGCCACACCATGGCCGTGCCGTCGCGCGAGGCTGTGCACTTGCATGCACACATAAGGTGCTCTTGCTAAACGAGCATAAAAAATGTCATCAATATTTTTGGCCGCATTTTGGGGTGCATTGCTGGCGTGATGCGGGTGCTGTTGCAAAGTCCCCCGGGTGGACCGCGACCACCCGGCGTGGGTACCCGCCTGGGGGCTCCCCCTGCCCGGGCAGGAGGTGCCTCAGCAGCCTGGCTCCGTCGGCCAGGGCTTGCTACCATCTAGTGGCCACGGGCGACAGAGCCACGGGGACTGGAGGCCACGTCCAAGCCCCCACCCGGGATTTGCAGGCTCGGGGAGGTGGCCAACAAATAGCCCTCAAATTTCGGAGGCAGGGGAGTGACCCCAGGACATGCAGGACTGCGGCGTCCCAGTGCCAGCAGCACCACAGGGCTCTTGCTGCAGTTGGGTGGCAGATGGTAGAACCTTTGTAAGGGGCTCGTTTTCAGCAC